ACAAGTGACCATTGCATAAGCACGTATATATATGTCAAAATATGAGTTATGGTAATAAGATAATATTAATAAATACTGCGAAAGAAAAGAGGAAGGCTGTTATTGCGAAAGCGATTAATAGAACTCGGCCGTTGCATCCTTGATCGATAACCAGAACGCTGACCAGGAAACGCTGATTCGGCAAGGACGGCCGAGAAGAGCAGGAGATAAAAAAAAAAGATGCGAAGCAGACGGGGGTCATTCGAGAAGTCAAAAGCGCGTCGCATTACTCGGTCTAAAAAAGGTGACAACGAATCTAACTAAGTATTTACATGAGAGATACTATTTTAATAAAAAAGAGATTATAAAAAGTTATTCGGTATTGTGTGAGTTGATTGCCCGCCTATTGTCGTCCCCGCTGGATCCCGAATCCAATACCGTGTTACGCGGTATAACATACTGGAAAAATATTTCTCACATATTTATATGCTTTTGGTGACATAAAGGAAACTGTTGATGCAAAAATTCTTAATGGAAGAGGACAAGATGCAACTTTTTTCTTCTTGGACTGAAGTAGAGAAAATAATTCTGTAGGGATTGATCTCATTTTTTTCTAGAATAGAAAAATTTATTAACAATTTCTACATTATCTCAGCAATTAATTAAAATATATACATCAATTTTTTCCTGTTATTAACTTTCCATTCTTATTCTGTACTTGCTTCAGGCAAGATTTTAGTTTAGATGTACTTAGATTTTAATATCTTAGCAATTAAAATACTTACACGCATCAACTTTTTTTCTTTTATTACGTTTGTTTTTTCTTTTATTAAGTTTGTTTTTTCTGTTATTAAGTTTGTTTTTTCTGTTATTAAGTTTGTATTCTTAGTCTGCACTTGTTTCAGGCGAGAACTTAATCGCCAATTTTTCCGTTTTAAAGATGAAATTTCTTTATTTTTAAAAATCATTTTGTTTTGTAAATATTGTAACGACAAATTAGATTCTGCAGATTCTTCAGTAGTCGATCTTTCTAAAACCTCATTCTTCAAACAAATTTGTTTGTTTGGAATTCCATCTTCAATGACTTCACTAGATCTAAACATATAAAATGTATTAAACAGGAATTATAAAGCTTTAATATATATATGGGGCATTCTTTCTCAAATCAGCCACCCGCCTGCGCATTTTATTTTTAAAGATAAAATTTTTTTCGAAGCATCAAAATTTCCGCCTAAACCTCAATTTTTTGATGCCGTATGGTGTTTTTTATTTCCTTCTTATGGGTGTGACCATACGTTAAAAATAATGCTC